CGAGGACAAAGGTGGCTATGGTGGTGGGGATGGAAGTTAATCACATGATGGGTGATGTCGTTCTGTATTCTGTGAGTATGTGTTGCTCTGATTGGTTGATAAATAAAGCTGTTTGGCCAATGGTGAGGCAGAATAAGGTTAGGCAGGACATTCTAACCAGAGAGAGAGAGAGAGAGAGAGAGAGAGAGAGAGAGAGAGAGAGAGAGAGAGAGAGGAAGAAGAAACACAGAGCAAAGGAGACACTGCCAGCTGCCACCAGGAGAAGCAAGATGGAAAGGTAGCAGCAAGCCACAAGCCACGTGGCAAAATATAGATTTATAGAAATGGGTTAATTTCAGATGTAAGAGCTAGCTAGCAAGAAGCCTGAGCCATAGGCCATACAGTTCATAATTAATATAAGCCTCTGTGTGTTCATTTGGGTCTGAGTAGCCATGGGACCGCAGGAGCCAGGCGGGACCAGAGAAAACTTCCAGCTATAGTCACATGCTTAATACTATGGGCTTCTGATCAAGGCTGACCTAGCTCCAACCACATCAGATTCCCTAGTATGATGTTATTCTGTGTAGTGACAGTGATCAGACAGTTATATGGCAATATTGGATATATTGTATCACTTCCTTAGTGGGAGAAATATCATTTCATTCTTACTGGACTCTTACTAAAAACTGGATTTGACTTTTCTGCCTACATCATCTTTTTCAAAACCCCCATCCTTAGAAATAGAGAAAGCCTTATCTAGCATGATATGCCACACAACATTGGCTCTGATCAAAAATTTCTTTTCACAGCCAGAGAAGTATAGCATTGGTATCATGCTCATGGAATTTAATATGAACTTCAGCACCCTGAAGCAGCTAATCTGTAGAATAGTGGATGGCTTCTGAGGATAACAACACTTGCTCAGTGGCATTTCTTGCAAGCTGGACACAGTTCTTTAGAAGGCTGCTTATGCTCTGAATCAGGTCCTATTGTATGGTGTTGTTTTTCTCATAGCTGAAACGCATGGGTCTAGAAATGAAGGGGTGGAGCTGGGAGTGGCCCCACACACCATCACCCCTATTAATCTACTAGAAAAAGTTTGTTTCCTGTTCCCACAGACTTATGCTCTGTTGGCCTAAGGTTCTTAGCTCCAGATCAAAGAATTATTCCACCAGGTAACAAAACAATGATTCCATTGAACTCAAGGTTGACACTGCCACCTGGCCACTTTGGGCTCCTTGTGTCTCTGAGTCAATAGGCTGAGAAGGGAGTTACTATGTTGGCTAGGGTGGTTGATCTAGACTGCCAAGGGGGAAATTGTTTTGCTATTTCACAATGGAGGTGGGGAAGACGTGTTTCTGAAGCACAGACCATTTCTGAGAGCATTTCTCAGAATTACAATGCCCCGTGATTAAGGCCAGTGGAAAACTACAGCTGCTCAGTCCAGTCGGGACATCTGACAGCCCTTCAGGAATGCAGCTCTGAGCTACTCCACCAGGGAAAGAAAAAGGTTGCTTGCTGGAAGGACACAGAATTAATAGTAGAAGAGTATAAATGCCAGCTATGACCATGTGACTAGTCATGGAAAGGAGGATTCTAATAGCCTTATTTAATTGAGAATATGCTTATGTGCATATAGTACATATAATTAGCGAGCATCTTTGTTTTTGCTCCTGTGTTATTCCAGTAACACGAAGGGGAAAATGTACTAATTTTACATAAATGTTGTCAGTTTCCCATCATAGCACTAAAGTTATGGGCTACCAGGAGAAGAGTAAACATTACTTGGGGTCTTTACCATTGATTCTGGGAAGGGAATAGTCAGTTTTGTTTGGGTACAGGAGAGCTGGGTTGTGTTAGATCTAAATAGAACTTTACAATTGTCTTTATTTGGAGGTTTAGTTTGGATTAAGGTGATATGGCTGAGCACCAAGTTGATAAGAAGTGAGCTTTGGATCATTCCTTTTATGTGACCATTTCGCTAATCTAAGTTTGTCTTAATATCTGGCAAATAGTGATATAGTTTTTGTTGTTTTATTTTTATGTATGTGTATATATGTATGTATGTATGTATGTATGTGCACATGCATGCACACATGTGTGCTAGTGTCCATGGAGGTCAGAAGAGGCCATTAGACTCCCTAGAGCTGGAGTAACAAATGACTGTATATTGTACAATGTATGCAGAGATCTGAACTGTGGTCCTATGGAAGAGCAGCAAGTGTTCCTTTCTACTTCCCCAACCTCATATTATTAATCGTAGTTGAAGTGGTCTTTTAAAAAAATAATTTTTTTGTGTGTTGAGTTCGTGGACCATAGTGGCTGTGGGGAAGTCAGACAATCATCCGCAGGAGTGGGTTCTCACCTTTCACCCCACGAGGCTCTGGGATTGAATTCAGGTCATCAGGCTTGGTGGCAGGTGCCTTTACTCACTGAACCACCTTATGAGCTCCTAAAAGTAAGCTCTTAAAGGAAGAACTATACCTATGTTGACAACATCATGCACAATAGCAAAGTGATAGCTGTAATCCAGGCAGCGGATATAGACAATGGTGTATTATTTAGCTTAAAATAGGGTTTGCTGACACACGCTGCAATATACAAGGTGGAGGATGTTAGGCTATGTGAAATGACCCAGTCACAAAAGGACCAGTACTATATGATTTCACTTTCACTCAGTCATCAAATTCATGGAAAGTAGAATGGTGGTTACCAGGGCTGGAGGGAAAGCAGGAACTTGAGGAATTGTGGTTTAATGGGTACAATAAGTGCTCTTAACTGCTGAGCCATTCCTTCATCCAAATGGCATGTCCTTGGAGAGTCTGTGAGAGAGTTTGGGAAAGAAACTAACATTCAAATGAGGTGACAGAATAAAGAGGATTGCTTTCCTTAAGGCACGTGGGTATCATGGTATCATTCAGTCCACTGAGGCCTTGGATAGAAACAGGAGGAGAAAGAATGAATCCTTTCCTCCATTGATGCTGCAGAATCCATCTTCTTCTATTTGTGATTTGCAAGATCTTTGGGCCAAGACACGGACTTACACCATTGGCTCCCCTAGTTTCCACATGTTGAGGTTTGCACTGAAACTGTTACTGACTTTCCTTGGCCTCCAGCTTGTAGGTGGTCCATGGTCATTTCATGGACTCCATAATCATGTAAGTCAATCAATTAGTTTAAATTTTGGTCTCCGTCACTCTCTTTCTCTCTTACTGATTCTGTTTTCTCAAGAGAATCTTCAGTTACTGATTGTACATCTATAGTTGCAGGGTTCTATCTGTATTCATGATAGTGCTGGCTGTTGTCTCTCTCTGAATTATATCTCTGATATAATTCTGATGTCTCTGAACAAATTAGGAACTATCACCCCCTCTTCCATTTCTGGGGGAGTTTGGTGGGAAGTACAATCACACACACAAACACACACAGAAACACATTTACACACACACACACACATACACATACATACACACAAACTTATGTTTATAGACACACATACATATACACAAACTTATGTTCATAGACACACACACACACACACACACACACACACACACACACACACACACACTTCTTTGGTCAGGACAGTAACTGGATTAGCTGAGGATATCTAACCTCATCTAATCTCATGTAGAAGTCATGAGATTTTCTCTTTCATATATATACCACTCAAAGCAGAAGATATTGACAACGAAGGAAAGGGAAAATTAAGGCAACTCATAGCTCCTTTTCCATTTAGTCTTCCCTTATACAATCATAGACAGAAACAAAATAAAAGCAGTTTGGTTAGTTTCCTGAAGTTTTATTTAGCAAGTTCTGATATGAACAAAATACATCACATGTGGGAGCTACAAAATAGATGCTGTGTCATTTTGGTGAGTCTACATATAAATTAAAGACAATTTGTCTTTTAAAAACTTTTAATTTTATGTATATTTGCGTGTGTATGCCAGTGTGTGTCTATGTGCACCATGTGCATACAGGAGTCTTCAGAGGGCAGAAGAGGCATAGGACCCCCTGAAGCTGGAGTTACAGATGGTTGTGAGCCACCGTGTGCGTACTGGGAACTGAACCTGGGTCCTCTGCAAGAGCAGTCAGTGCTCTTAACTGCTGAGCCATCTCTCTTGGCTCTGTCTTTATTTTCATTTAGAAGTGGCATTATGCAATAAAAAGATCAAAAGAAAATATATGTTCAGGATTTAAAGTTTCAGAATATTCTTTACTGGGGACGACAATGACCAAGTGGAAATCATTATGACAAGTTAAGGGAAATCGTACAGAAAAAAAGACAAGAAAAAGCTTTACATTCAGAACCTTAAATGCTCCTGTTCAAATATTGAGAACGACCCCTGTGTTTCATTTTGCAGTAAGTTTTAGGGAGGCCATACCTCCAGACCTCCTTGAAATTGGACGATGGTGTCTGGTGACCCTTGAGGAAGACTCGAAAGTGTGTCACTGGTAATCACTGGTGTGAAATGAAAGTACAAATAAACTGTGACTGTCTGGATCTACAATGCTCCCCAGGGGCTGAAGAGATGGCTCAGTGATAAAGAACACTGGCTGCTGTTCTAGAGGACCCAGGTTTGATTCCTAGTACCCACATGGCTGCTCAAAACTGGCTGGAACTCCAGTCCCTGGGGATCTGATGCCCTCCCTGGAGTCTATGGGCACTGCAGGCACATGGTGCCCAGACATAGGCACAGGCATTACATCCATATACATAAAGTAAAATAAGAAAATAAATAAATAAATAAATAAATAAATAAATAAATAAATAAATAAAGACACTGGCCATCTGTTTTTTAAAGCAATTTAAAAACAAATGAGCCGGGCGGTGGTGGCGCACGCCTTTAATCCCAGCACTCGGGAGGCAGAGCCAGGCGGATCTCTGTGAGTTCGAGGCCAGCCTGGGCTACCAAGTGAGTCCCAGGAAAGGCGCAAAGCTGCACAGAGAAACCCTGTCTCGAAAAACCAAAAAAAAAAAAAAAAAAAAAAACAAACAAACAAACAAAAAAAAAAACAAATGAAGTATGGAGTTTTAAGATAACATTTTATGAAAAGTTCCACAAGGGCCATGCATTGAAATTTAGTCCATAACTCATGGCACTTGTGCAAAATGGTGAAACATTCAGGCGCTCAGGACTAGTAGCAGGAAGTTAGATCCTTCAAGGCATACTCTTAAAGGGATCATTACGACTCTGGCTTCTCTTTGTCTGTCTTTGCTTTCCAGTGGTCATGATGTGAGTATGACCACTATGCCATTTGCTCTTGTGGTACGTTGTGCTGCCACATGCCCAAGACAAGAGGTCCACGTAACCATGGACTGAAACTGGAAGCCCAGACAAACGCTCTGCTTCATGGATTGATTCATTCAGGTACTTTGTCACAGTCATGGAATGCTGACTGGCATGTAGTCAGTAAATTCTTGCCATCATTGCCTTTCCATGTTAGCTTCTGCTCCTGGTAGCCTAGCTTCTCTTGTAGTACTTACACTGCTAATTCAAGTCCCTGAGTGTCTGATCCAGAGGCCCTGCCACTGCCTTGCTCCCTGAGTCCCTAGATGAAAATGATCAAGTCATGATCCCACTTTTAGACTAGTGTCAACAAAGTCGAATCACTATCCCCCAGGTGACCAAAAGCAGCTTTATTACCTTCTGTTTTTTAAAGAGTGACAGCTGCAGCAAGACCCGAATGGAGGTAGGGAGCCACCGAGAATTGGCCGTCTCATTCTTCTCAGCATTATTTCAATGATTTCACTAGTTGTGCAGATGTAGGACTCAGGCACCTTTGACCTCAGAGAAGCAACACTGTAAGGACTGTGCTGGGAGCATCTGCAATCCTTATGACACCCAGGTTGGAGGAGAGATGAGGACGGAAAGAGAAGTGATCTTGGGTCTCTCCATTCCAGAATTCAAGAATCAATCCCGTCCCTTCATTTTCGCTTCTGGGTTTGGGAGGGTAAATAAATACAGCTCAACATTAGCTGTAACCTGGGAAGCATAAGCACAAGCACCTTCACGAGTCTGCAAGAGAAGTCCCGGGACCAGCAGGCATCAGCCCACTTCTGAAGACCCAGATTCACAGGATCTACAGAACCCATCTCTGCGTGGGGTTGACGGTAACACATCACTTCATCACTGAGCTGCAACTCCTTCTGAGGCTGATGCTAAGCAAGATCTTATCTACCCCATAACTTTCCCACAGGGTGCTTGGAACATTCCACAGGGGCTGGACCCTCACAGGAAGAAACCTAACGTTTGCCAAAAAGCCATTGTGATGTTCATGTGATTAGTTGGAAAAATAAAAGTAATACCTTCAGAAGAGTGAATATCACAGAGCTGCCTGCATTTAAGATCTGTTCTCTTGGGATACTTTTTAATCTGGAAGTGTGGGAAGCCACTGCTTCTGCAGTTTAGCGTGCTGATGTTGGCATGGCCTCCATGAGAACTCTCTGTCTTTTAATGAGTGAAACAAAGGAAAACATTGGATTAGAAGTTGAGTATAATAGGCTGTGACATTTCCTGAACTAAGATTCCAAAGTCTGCTTTTTCATTTTTTAAAATCCCAGAAGATCTAGTTAAGATGGAAAGTGTGATTTCACCAGGCAGGGATGAGATGCACCCCAGGGAAAGCCCTCAGCTGTTGAGACATACCATCACCTCCAGATATTTCAGTCATGGCATTTCTGACTTAGCTATCATAAGCTGCTTTTACAGTTAAAAAAAAAAAAAAACAAAACACTTTCAGCTCTGTCTGTTGTTTGCGCCTGAAGCTTATCCAACCACGGTGAACTTTTTAAATTAAATTTTAAAATTTATTTTACATACCAACCACAGTTTCCCCTCTCTCCTCTCCTCCCATTCCCTCTCCCCACCTCCTTTCTACCCCCACCCCCCATCCACTCCTCAGAAAGGGTAAGGCCTCCCATGGGAGTCAACAAAGCAAGGCATACCAAGTTGAGACAGGACCAAGCTCCTCCCCACTGCATCAAGGCTGAGCAAAGGCATCCCCCCATAGGAAATAGGTTCCAAAATGTCAGCTCATGCACCAGAGACAGATCTTGGTCTCACTGCTTGGGGCCACAAACAGAGCAAGCTGCACAACTATCACCTGTATGCAGAGGGCTTAGGTCGGTCCCATGCAGGCTCCCTAGCTGTCCATCTAGAGTCCCTGAGCTCTCACGACCTGGGTCAGCTGTCTCTGTGGGTTTCCCCATCATGATCTTGACCCTCCCCCCCCCACTTGCTCATACAATCCCTCCTCCCTCTCTTCAACTTGACTCCCAGGGCTCGGTCCAGTGCTTGGCTTCCATAATGAACTTTTGTGGTGACGGCATGCACATATGTCAGAGAGTCCTCTTCCCTGGAGTATTGTTCTGAAGGAGGCTGGGACCCTCCATCACCATTTCTGTCATTATGAATCTGCAGAATCTTGAAGGTCTTTGAAAATATCCCTGGAGAAATTGTTCGCTCCACAGCTGAGGTTCTCTTGGCTGTCCTAGACAATGAATGAAAAGAATGCCTAACTAGCATAACAAAGAGAGTGTCCTTACCTCTATCCTAGTATCCTTAAGGATCTCCAAGGCACCCATAGCTCTGAAACTCCCCCAAGATGTTTTTTTCCATACTTCACAGATCAGTGGTCCTGCCACGAGTGGTGGCTCCCCAAGATCCTCTCGTTTAGTCAATGACCATCTTTGGTGCGGTCGCCTCTGCTGAAACCCTGTGCTGGGGCTTTCCTCCACAACTGCACTGTAAGACAATGTGGCTTAGATGTTGATCTGCCCCACACCTGTTGGGACTAGGAAAGACTGAAGCAAAACACAACATGTATGACACTATGACACGTATGAGGTTTTTGCATTCCCCCATCCTTGATGCTGAGAGTGCTCTTGAACTTCCTCTGCTCTTCTCTACCCTCAACCCCGGGGATAAACTTCTGCTAGAAGCTTCCTCAGCTTCTCCAGACATGGGTGTCTTAACAACCCAACTCCTTCTTTTGTCTGGTATGCCTGGTACAGCCTGAGACCAAAGTATAGGTGCTATCTGGGATCCCTGTTAAATATTAAATACTTGGGAATGCAGGAATTCAGAAACGACTCCCTCCTCTTTCTTCCTTGTGTAAATGCAGAGTTTTGGCTTACTAGAAAGATGACATTTTTCATTCAAGTTAGAATCTCATGGTTTGATACAAAACACCACCAATATTCAAACTATAAACAAAATTTAGAATGTAGTTCCATTCACCAATCTCTTCATTCTTGGTCAAGTTAGGAAATAGAGAGTTTGTAGCAATGAAGGAGGTATATAAGAGGGACCAGTGATAAATCCATCTCTGATTTTTCAGAATAGCATTAAAGCAGAACAGAACAGAGCTATAACAGAGGACATACTTATCTGTTGACTTCTGAGATTTACTTTCTGCTGACTTTTAACCAGGCAAGTTCTTTGAGGCAAAATACTTCATAGAGACAGAACACACACACAGGCCCAGGTCGGGAAGTCTTCTTTAGTCAGAACAGCTTGATGCCTTTTCTGTGCAGGCTCATATTTCCGGAAACCCCTGCAAAGAATCCTACACGCAGTTGCATAATCCTCGTGTGGGCTGAGGGTGGAGGTGCGATGTTATATAAGTTCACCCCGACTGCACATCAAGGCAGAGCGGCCAAGCGATGCTTCCCTCAACCAGAAGCAGAGCTCCCAGAATGATCTCATCAGAAGAAAAATGATGACAGCTGGTGGCTTAAATAAAGCTTCATGACAACGTGGCAGGCGAGCCACACCTACACATTCTCTCCGTTTGCTGTTTGGCTGTAAGCACAGCACACACTTTCCGACAAACTCTAAGTGTTGGCGCTACTTCTGTGTTGAATCATCGTCAGAAGAGCTGGGCAGCCGGCATACATGAGAGCAACTGTGCTTTGTGGATGGTGAAGAGCCTAGTATCCAGGGTAAGATTCCAGGGAACAAGCCCTTGCTTTGTGCAAACATGAATAACTTTCTGAGGCTCCCAAACTCTTGTTTTTTCCCCATTGTAAAATGGTGACAGCAATGATACCTATGTTTTGTGCTGATTTTCTGTAGAGGGCAGTGCTGGGGATAGAACCCAGATAAGCACCCTATCACTGAGCTATACTCAAGCCCTTTGGGGTTTCCTTAAACATTAAGTGATTAGCATTTCTTAACAAGTTTATCATAGTCCATGGCATCTAATTGTTGTATTTTGATTTTGTTTTACTTTTTGCAGCATTGGATGCTGAATCTCACCCACATGCTGGACCCTGCAACTGTCCACCACCAGCCCCTATAGCCACTGCTTTTAAATATTAACTTTTGCTATGGTTCAACAAACACTGGGGTATTGTCCACTGGGTACATGAAGTTATTATAATTATTACTCAAAGAGAGGAAGAGACAAATGAGTATCTATACTGTTTAATTGCTGGGGGTGGGGGTTCAAAGGAAATAAATGAAGCAAAGTGGAGACACGGATTCAGCTCACAGACTGTGATTTTGAAGTAGAGTAAGATAGGAACTCCTCCCATAAGCCTCATCCATTGCTGGCAAGTCTGTAAAATAGTGCAACCATTTTGGAAAACAGCTTTGCATTTCTTCAAGGGAACCCTGGAAGGAATAAGTATGGAGTTACCTATTTGTCTGGTTATGCCTCTTAAGTACATACCCAAAGAGAACCCAAAATATACATCCACACAGTTTTCAATATGTATAGCACAGCAGCAGTGTTTATAACGTCCAAAGCAGAAATCCAATTAATGTTTATCATCTGATCCACAGTTAAATTCAATGTCGTTTGTACATTCAATGGAGTATGATTTGAGTATTAAAAGATGAGATAATGACATGTGCTACACTGTGGATAAACCTTGATGATATTATCCTAAGTAAAATAATCCAGCCATTAAAGACCATTTGTTGTATGGTGTCATGTATATAAATTGTCCAGAATAGGCAAATTAATAAGGGAGATTAATGGTCCCAAATAATGAAATCCAATAGATACAGGGCTTACTTGGGGGTGATTATAATGATCTGGGATGAGATGGTGGTGGTTGTTGCCAAGATCTACATGCATACAAATACCTACTAAACTGCATTCTTTATTTCTTTTTCCTGTGTGTGTTTGTGTGTTTTTGTGTGTGTGTGTGTGTGTGTGTGTGTGTGTGTGTGTGTGTACACCTGGAGGCCAGAGGTCAACCTAGTATGTCACTTCTTAGCTGTACTCCACTGTTTTCTTGAGACAAGGCTTCTCACTTGGCTTGGAACTCACCAATTAGGCTACACTGGCGGTTGACAGGCCTTGGAGATTTGCTCATTTCTGCTCTCTAGTGCTGGGATTATGAGCGTGTCTGACCATGCTGCTGGTTTTTTGACCTAGGTTCTGGAGATCAAGCCTAGGTTCTCATGTTTGGCAAACACATTGCCAACTGAGCCGCCACACCAGTCCCAAACTGTATGTCTTAAAAGGGATGACTCTCATGGAATGTAAACTGTATTTTCCATAAAAGAGAAGCAATCTATACAAACATTTAAGCCATCATTATTACCTAATGATAGCATGTGTGGGGGGCCATCCCTCACCCCCACATTTCCCCAGAGTACTCGAGTAGGAGCAGCAGGAAGTATTAGATAGAAGAATAGAGGGGAGAGAAACAGAAAATACAGGCTAGCCTCTAGAGGGCCTGGATCCGAATCCATCAGGCCTCAATTGTCTCTGCCCTAAGGTATTTAAAGGAAAGGCAAGGGGTAGAACAAAAGACCTCCCCCGCAACAGCCAAATGCAGACCATCTCAGACACTTGCACCCAGGCCCGTGGTCCAATCATTCTCTCTATGCAGACCTGCTGGGTAAAGCCACTAGGAAACCTGAAAATGGGCTCCAAGAAGCATGTAAAATATGCCATTTAAATACTTGATTCTGTTATGTTTTAGATATGATTTGCCACCAAAAGTTCACATGGTGAAAACTTTGTCCCTAATGCAATGGTGTTGACATACTGAGACATTTATGATTTGATTAGCTTATGGAATACCACCATTTGAAGGGAGTCATGTAGTTCTTTTAGAATCAGGTTTATTCTACTTAGAGAACGTTGTTGTAAAAGAACAAGTCTGGTCCCTCCCTTTATTCATTCCTCACTTCCATCTCTCTGCTCCTCTGTAATGCCATCCATCATGCTACGACATAGGCAGCCTTATGGGATTAGGCAACACAATCCTGGAATTTTAGCCTCTAAAGCTGTGATATAAACAAACCTCTGTTTTTTATACATTACCTAGTATCAAGTATTGTTGTAGAACACACAAAACTGGCTAAGACACATGGGCTAGCGGGCCTTTGAGTTGCTGTGACAGAACGGGCAATGTAACTTAAGAGAAGGAGGGTTTCTTTTGCTCATCGTGCCTGATGCGTCATTCCTTTGTGGTGGAGAGGATGGGGTGAACAGAGCAAATCCCACTGCAGCAAATAGAGAGACAGAGAATGACTGCCCTTAGCTGGCTCTCTCCTTTTTCCCAGTTTATTTCATTCAGAGAGGACAGTGAATTCAAAGTAGGGCTTCCCCTCTCAGCTAACTTATCTTCTCTGGAAATGTCCACACTAACATGCCCAGAGATGTATTTTACTGATCCCCGGGCACTTCCCAATCCAATCAAGTTGACACTCAAAATTAATCATTGAGGATACCATCCTAAAGAGAAAGTGTTGTAGAATATTATTTTAAGGTGTGTTACTTTTGTTCCTGTTGCATTTAACTCTGTGACGCTGTGCTACTGTGCCTGTCTAAAACGCCTGATGGTCTAATAAAGAACTGGCCAATAGCAAGGCAGGAGAAAGGATAGGTGGGGCTGGCAGGCAGAGAGAATATATAGAAGAAGAAATCTGGAGGGAGGAGACATAAAGGTAGCCAGAGAAGGAGGAGGACTCCAGGGGCCAGTCACCCAGCTGCACAGCAAGCCACAGAGTAAGAGTAAGATTTACAGAAATAAGAGACTGGAAAAACCCAGAGGCAAAAGGTAGACAGGTTATTTAAGTCAAGGAAAGCTGGCAAGAAACAAGCCAAGCTAAGGCCAGGCGTGTATAACTAAGAATAAGCCTCCCTGTGTGATTTATTTGGGAGCTGGGTGGCAGGCCCCCCCAAAAGAGCCAAAACTAGCAACAAGAAAGCAGTTCAGCCTTTACCTTGAAGTAGAGTTGAGAATGGAATAGCAACATGGATGTCAGGACATGGGGTTATCAGGTCTCTTCTCAAGAGACCTTGGGCCTAAAATTGTTGCAGACTCCAGGTGGGTGCCACAAGCTGCACAGAAATAACACACAGTTGCAGCTGTGAAACTCACACTCTCCCCAGGAAAGTGGTTCCTAGGACTTCAAGCACCCAAGCAAGATGGCTGAAGAAGAGACTTTGGTCCCGAGTTACTTCTCAAGCTTCACTCCCGTGAGGAGAAAGGCATCCCTGCTCTGGCACTGTTTACCGCCAATAACCTTCCCGCCACCACCCAACTCGTGTCACCTGCCAGAGCAAAATGACTGGGGTGTGGCTTTTGTTTATGTTCTAGCAATGGTTCAAGGAGCTAGAACTCTGGTCACACACGTTTGAAGGGAACTATGCACCTCAAGAAAAACGAATATCTAATCTGTGCAATCAGAATTAAAAAGAATTGATTGCTTATGAGTGCCAGGTGCCACCGTAAGCCATTGATAAGTGATATCTTGTTTAATCCTTACCCAGACATGTGAGATAAATATTACTCTTTATTCTTACCCCTGGGGAGCTGACTTACTGATATGCTAGCAACCTGCTGGTTTTTAGTGGTGTGTCAACTTTGAACAATTGTTTTAATGGTTTATTTTCTAAATCTTTTTCAGTCTCTTCAGACTGCCATAACAAAAATACGATGGAATGGGTAGCTTAAAAAGCAGAAATTCATTTTCTAATGTCTCTGAACACTGAAAAAGACATGATTGACATGCTGCTGGGCTTGTGTTCTGGTGAGGACTTTCTCCTTGGGTTCCACACCGCCAACCTCTCACTGTGTCCTCGGGTGGCCTTTGTTGAGCATACTGAGAATGCTGGTATTTCTTTTTTTCCTATAGGACATCTACCACAATGGAGTAGAGATTCAACAGCATGTTATTGTTTTATCTTACTGACTTAGAACCTTTCTCCAAATACTGTGGATTATAGACTAGGACTTTATTATTCTTCAGAAGGCCACAAAATTTTATCCATACAATAAATAACCACCTTAGAATTACAATTTGTATCAATCATGTTATTATTTTTAAAAGGTTCCTGAAATCATGTAAGGTTAAGGCCCCACAAAACCTGGATCCGTTTAGGTTGCTCTCACATTGCACAGGAGGAAATGAATGTTTAGAGAGAAGGAATTTGCTGCTGGCAACACTACCAGTCAGTGCAGGATCAGTCCAGAAGCTACTGTGTGTGACCTTCAGTCCCTGGGCCAGCAAATTTTGCATCCCTGAGAGCC